AGAGGGGAATGGTTAGGAAGACCGGCGAAGATCAAAGGGTCGGTCTTTTGTTTTGCTCTAGAGGTTGAACGTACTGGTCACGTGTCATTTACCGTGCACAACWTCTGGYGCCATGACAAACAATATGGCGTCGGATAGTGATCTCTTTCTCTTTGGAGACGATTTAGACGCAGTCCTTGAAGCTTWAGAAGCCGACAACAATGTAAATGAATACTTCGATGAGGYCGTGACTGAGGTGAGTGAAAAGATTTCACTGTCTTTCGCAATATCCAGGAAAGTTTACCGAGTTTTGCGTTCGAATCGACAAGTCGTAACTATGACCACGGTAGCTCAGCTTACCGTAGATATTAAGTTAAGTCGCTGAATTCTCACGAAAATAGTCACAAATTGCAAAATATAGGCGACTTCGGTATATCGTTTTTTAGTAATAGTATATTGTGTGTTCTATAACTTCTTGTCATTTATAAATCGCTTGACATTTGTTGATGTTGTTTTGCACAGATCCAGAAGGAAGACATCTTGTGTAACTTATGTTCAAAGAAATGTAGAAGTTTAAGCGGTTTGAAAAGACACATRACCTGCAAGCACAGAGATATTCTTGAAGATAACGAACCAGATATTGTTGAAGGCCAACAACGTGAATTTACTGCAGAAATTCTTGCAAGGATGGTCGAAGAAGTAAAGTACAGACTGGTCAACAACAAAGTTCATTCGAAGGCCATCCGAGAGGAACTAAGTGGTTATCAGTTTACAAACATCTCAGAAGAAACGAAGGAATTTAGGGAACTACAAAGCATGTATCAGAACTTGATGAAAAAGAAAGACCAGGAGAAATTCTATGCTGTCTTCTATTCCACTGTGCCATTGAATTCTACTAGATATTTTACTGGGCTATCTAGAAATTCTGCCACACTCATGTCCACTAAACTTGCTGATGCTATGCTTGCCCATAGCAAAGACAGATCTRTATCTACTGTCAACAACTTTAAGATTGAGYTAACTGAAAAAGAAATTGCTGGATTGCAATATGTAGGAGGATACGTGTTACATAAGTTGCACAACAGACATACACAATCTAAACTGTGTAAATCATCMGCTAGTCAACAGACAATTGCTATACTTAAAGCTSGTAAAGAGAAAGAGCAAAGCATRTCAGACAATCAGAAACTTACTACTTCACTTAACCGTGGAGGACTGTGGACGATAACAAAGCCAGCACAAACAGTTTTTATTARGACTGAAAAGTATTTCAGATTTTRCACATCTGACTATCCTATTGCAAGTATTGACATTACTGAGATAAGGTCAAAAACCATTAATGATGGTGAAGTACTAATAGCTTTTAGTTGCATGAAGGCAAACTCAGAACTTAAAGTATGTGAGAAAGTGGCTAAAGATGTATTACAGAGTATTGTTGACTTGTACATTAGAGTAAGGTCCTTTTCATTTGCCAAAGATGTCGTGCAGAAATACAAAGTGCAAATGAAATTGGTCAAAGAAAAAGCACTCCGAAAGCAAATAAGCAGAGCAAGCAAGGTCAAGGATTATGAACATCGACATCCCTAGAATTGTTAAGCCAGTCCCTCAAGACATTTTTGTTGTGGTAATTTTCTATGGAGCAATTTTGATTTGCTCATATAGATCATGCAGTTTACTAATGAATTTATACTTTCACTGTAGATAATTTATTGATAGCAATCGATGATACATGTATTTATGCAGAGTATTATGAATATAATTGAAGCATTTTCTTTTTTCTTTTAAGCAAAACTACAAGCAGAACATATGTTAGAACTGCTGTAAAAAACTATTTAAATAAGTTGTGTTCCTTCAAGTATTCCTGTTACATAAGAGCTACATTTCTTGAAATTTATTTTATAAATAAAATTTAACAAAGTCAAATCSACAGTGTCCAATGTTATTGTTATTAAGATTTTTCTATTTTCTCTTTTTTCTCTTTGGTACAGTTTCATTGGTAATTTCAACCCAAGCTTTCGTCTTGTCTTTTCGCCCCCTGGTATTCCCAGACTGACAAGAAACACTTCTCTGTATKCGAATTGTATTRTCATTATATCCAAACATCTTGAGATCTGGGTTGTCACTTCTCCTGCCAATTTTCCTCTGGTTGCCGAARTACTCTTCTATTGGATCTTGACAGAATCTCTCTGTCAAGACGTATTCCATTCCCTCGTTCAGAAGGAACTTTGTTGCTTCAATGGCAGAATATGTTGAAATTTGGATTCCTTCATAGGTCTGCCAACTSAGAAACATCCGACTTCTGGCATTTGTGGTAAAGTTACCTGGTCGGTTGATGGTACTCTGTTTCCAGTCCCTCAGGTATGGTAGAAACTCCCTTTCCAACCAGGTAAATCTTGGATCTTCAGCTGAAGTATAGGGAGCCAAGAAAGGTTTCCGCTTCCTTTGATGCTCTTGTGTACTTCTTACGTTTAGGCAATCGAAGAAGGAGTCGATCATTTGGCACAACTTTGCTGTTCCTGCTGTATCAGGGGTTCCAAAGGCCTTCAAAACAGTTGATACTGTAGCACTCAATACCTAAATAAAAATAATTCAAAAATGAATTTTTTTGCAGACATACAAATGATAATTCACAGATCCCAACTCCATGTAATCTTATTACATAGTTTTAACTGMCTAATAGACTGCCAAATTCATCATACATAAAAAACAATTGAAACTWACCTGAGCTGCAAGATTAACACGCATGGTAGAGTATGCAGTAAGTTTGATGTGATCAAACGTTATTCTAGGTAACAGCTTTAGACCACTTTCAATATCTTGATGGAATAACTGGACTATGTGCTGCCACAGTAGGTAGTGCCCATCATTCCACATGTAACTAATTAAAATAAAGAATGAATAATTTGAATTAGCAAAGAAATYTTTAATTAAGCGATACTGTGTTCATGATAATTCAATACCATTATATGTAATACATACCGTGTACATGATCCAGATCCTGAGTGATACAAGCAGTTTCTAGTAGTCTTTATTAGATGAGGCGCATCAGAGAAAAAGTAGATGTATCTATGAGGYGCATARAGGTTAACTGTGCGATAACATACATCTTTATCAGCTCCACCATCAAGGGCCTTGTGCATCCTATAGAAGCAGCGGTTTGGTGATGCACCATCAGATGTAGCTGCAATCACCCATAGATTGCAGTTTGTTTCAAGAATAGAGATAGCTTCCCAGAATAGAGGCATCAGCTGGAATGAGGTTATTCCAGTAGTGGAAAAGTAGGCCAGGCTGAACTTTAAGTTAGTACACATGCCCCGGACTAAGAATACCAAKGCATGAGTGGCAATTTCATSTGCTTTGTTGAGAGTTGCAAAATTCACATCTGGATCACCCAGGTCAACATAACCAATCAGCTCTCCTGTAACCTTATCAAAAACAAGATTTGACAAAATCTTCATCTCATCAAAGAGCAGAGTGATGTACCTTTGTACATCAAAATATGAATTTGTCTGACTCTTCAGTTCTTCAATAACACTTTCTTGAAACCCTCTTGTAGGCCTGATGTAGTTC